AAGTGGGAAGGATGCTGGGGGAGACTAAGAGGGAGGGGAGCGGGGGAGACTAAGGGGGAGGGGAGCAGGGGGAGACTAATGGGGAGGGGAGCAGGGGGAGACTAAGGGGGAGGGGAGCGGGGGAGACTAAGGGGGAGGGGAGCGGGGGAGACTAAGTGGGAGGGGAGCGGAGGGAGAGTACTGGGGGTGAGGGTGTTTGGTTCTACGACCCTTTCCAACCTTCAGTGAGAGTGGGCCAGATCTCTGCAGTCAGTCTGTGTAGTTTACCCTCCTTAGACCCAGAGGGGGTGGGTCCCAGTCCTCGATTGGCCTTGGAGGGAGGGGGACAATTATTTGGGATCTCTGCTCCCCCTGATGGTGCCAGAGGGTGTATGTTGAAGACCCCCCTCGGCCTTTCCTTCAGATAAAAAAAATACAGAAAAGTGGGCAGGGCTGGACTATGTCATCTCGTCCCTAACTGCCCCTCGAGCGGAGAGCCTCACTCAGTTTGTTGGGTGGGGGGCTGTTTCAGAGGGATGTTAAGAGTGATCCCATCGCTGCGTGTGAGGTTTGGAGTCACGTGTAGGCCCAGCCCGGGTAAGGACGGCAAATTTCCATTAATGACCCCCACCCCCCGAGAATGGGGGTCTTTACCACCATCAACGGTGGTCGTCATTGTCACCGTCCCCGGGACCAACTCCCGATTCCGGGTTGGATTCATCTAATTTAAATTCCACCCGGGGGCCCCCTGGTAGAATTCGAACCCCCCAGACTGTTGGTCTCCCTGGCGATATTCCCAGCAGGCCACAGCTGAGGAGACAGAGAGGAAGCGATCTGAGAGGGTTTTGTCATCCAGAAGTGTCTATATAAATGAAATTGTTCAGTTGAGTTGCTCTGCATCGGCTGACCGCCTGGCTTATCTGTTTCAGACTCTAGCGCGTTGCCGTCGGTGACCAGGGATGAGCACTGGTGTAGCGTGGCCTACTGGGAGTACCGGACCAGGGTAGGCCGACTCTATACCGTCTGCGAGCCCTCCGTCAGCATCTTCTGTGACCTGCCGCGTGGAACGGGCTTCTGTCTGGGCCAACTCCACGCTGATGGCCGCCATGAGATGGTGAGGCGCACGCGGGGCAAGATAGGCGGCGGGATCTTGCTGAGCAAGGAGGGCGATGGGGTCTGGGCCTACAACCGCAGCGAGCACCCAGTTTTTGCCAGCTCACCGACGCTGGTGAGAGGCCGCACACGGGGCCTGTCCGTGCACAAGGTGCTGCCGGGGTACTCCCTCAAGGTCTTCGACTACCAGCGGGCCCAGGCCCTGCAGCGGTCAGCGGGCCCTGAGCTCCCCGACGGTCCCTTCGACCCCCACAGCGTCCGCATCAGCTTCGCCAAAGGCTGGGGGCCTTCCTACTCCAGGCAGTTCATCACATCCTGTCCGTGCTGGCTGGAAATACTGCTCAACAACTGCTAATCTCTCAGCACCCCCCGCCACACACACACACACACACACACTCTCTCTCTCTCTCACTCACACACACACACTCTCTCTCTCACTCACACACACACACTCTCTCTCTCTCCCCCCCCCCCCCC